AAAAGACTTGTTCCTTTGCTTTTATTCAAGCCAAATCTGGATGAGGGATTTTGCTTGCATGGAACTATCTGAAAAGTACTTTTTGCATTAGGCTGAAGAATATAAAAACAACAAAAAGCATTAGGTTACAAATAAATAATGCAAGTAAGTAATATCCAGGTTATAATATCTCTTCCTTTACAGTTTGTATATTTCTTTGCGTGGTGAGGAATAGAAATATCAGAGAAACTCAATTATTCAGATAACCTGGACAATCTAAACAAGCACCACTCCTAAAGAAACATTTGACATGAAGAAATAAGTGGTTTCTACTTACTCAGCACTCAGAGCACTGTACATCAGTGCCCATCTATGGAAGAATTGAAATTGCAACTATACATCTTCAAATTTCGGGACTGGAGGAAAATTACACTACTTTGAAGGTATTTCCTTGACTAAAGTTTCAGTGAGGTTATGGCAAATGCTGCTGCCTCACCCTGAACTGCAGTGTGGAAATGTTTTCCTGGATCTTACCGACATTACACAGGAACAATACAGTTTCTCTGCTTTAGCAGAATAGAGCTTGTTTACCATATTATGTGAACCTTTGATGTACCTCAGTTGAAGAAAGTCCAGCAACTAAAACATGAGTCATGGCAGCCCGTAGTACTAAAGTTGAAAGGGACATTAAAGATCATCTACTTTCAACCCCCCTGCCATGGGCAGGGACAGCTCCCAATAGACCAGGTTGCTCAAAGCCCTATCCAACCTGGCCTTGAACACTTCCAGGAATGGGACATCCACAGCATCTCTGGGCAACCTGTTTCAGTGCCTCATCGCACTCACAGTAGAGAATTTCTTTCTAATATCTAATCTAAAGCTACCTTCCTTCAGCTTAAAGCCATTGCCCCTTATCCTATCGCATGCCCTTGTAAAAAATTCCTCTCCAGCTATCTTGCAGGTCCCCTTTTGGTATTGGAAGGCTGAAATAAGGTCTTCCTGGGGAGATCTTATGTCATATTATCACTAGGTGATGCAGAAAAGAAGTGGTGCAATTGGCACTCAGAGACTTCAGTTTACTATTTATTATGTCTCAGTTGACATGCAAAATAAAGCAAATTGCCACATAGAAAGAAAATTAAGTTCTAATATTATAGAGTTACTGTCTGTCCAGGGTTTCAAAAAAACAAACATTCTGTAGAATATGTTGAATATATATTTTGGACATGTTTTATTCCTTTTCAAAATAGCATCACTGTCATGCTTCTTGGTATGACTTAAGAAGTAAGTGTGCTCATGATGTACAATTCTCCAGTATGATGGTTTAATAAACAGTCTCAGAAAAAAAATAATCTGTAAATATTCCTATTCATTTAGCAAAAACATAAATGAACCATATGAACAGACAAGGAAAAAAAGTATGTCAAGTACTGTATTAGATATTACATATACTTTTGAAAGTTCAGTATAAGGGATTTTTTGGAAAACTCTATAAAAGAGTTTGGCAGAATAAACACCTGAAGAAAAGTACAGAGATCAGTGTTTACAGAGCCACTGTGTTGTCCACTCTTTTATATGGATCTGAATCATGGGTCATCTACTGCCACCACCTGCGACTCTTAGAACGCTTCCATCAATGCTGTCTCCGTACAGTCCTAAATATCCACTGGTCAGATTATGTGACTAATAGGTCTGTTCTAGAACAGGCAGCAGTTATAAATATTGAGGCCATGTTGCTGAGAACACAGCTGCGCTGGGCAGGGCACGTCTCCATGATGAAGGACCACCGCCTCCCTAAGATCCTGCTTTATGGTGAACTTGCCACCGGTTGCTGCAAGAGAGGAGCCCCGAAAAAAAGATACAAGGACTCCCTGAAACAACATCTCAGTCTTGGCCATACTGATCAACATAACCGGTCTACTCTGGCCTCCAATCGGGAGGTCTGGAGACACACCATCTATAACGCTGCTGATGCCTTTGAGAACACACGCAGGATCACTCTCGAGAAGAAAAGACAACGCAGAAAGAACCGTGTCCTGTCGATACCACCTAAGGAGTCTTTCTGCTGTGCCTTTTGCAACTGGACTTGTCAATCTCGCATTGGCCTTTTTAGCCACCAGCGTGCTTGTAACAAACGTGGGTAGAGTCTTTCCCAAATCTTTGTTCGCGAAGCCCAGCCATGAATGATAAGGGATTGCAATAAATCTAGGACCACCTTCAAACAGCTTAAGCTCCAGTTAAATTTTTGAGTAGTAGTACTCTCTATTAACAAGGCATCTATGAAGGTCTAGGATTGGCCAATAGGAGACAACTGGCCCAGGGATTTAAGTAAAATTTAGGTCAAATGAATACATCTATAAAGCACATTTCAAAAAATGTCCAAAAAAGTAAATCCAAGCTGCAGCTCGGCAGATTATATGCCCTATGATTCACCATGAGATACTCATCTGAAGAGCAAACATTTCTGTTCAGAGAAGAAGCTAAATTAATGGGATATATACATATATATATATATATATATGCGTTAAGACTTTTGGGAGTCCATTTCAGATCCTGGTTTGTTTTTTTTTTTCATTTGTTTGTTTGTTTTTTTTAAATTGTGGTTGTTGTTGTTTATTTGTGGTTTTTTGTTTGTGGTTTTTTGTGTTTGTTTTTTTTTTTTTTTAAGATCAAATGCTGTTTTAAGATTTTGGACCAAGATTTTTTTATTATCTTATTAAAATAAAAAAATAGTAATGAAAAGGTTGCTTTAAAAAATTATGTTAAATTTTTTGTTTAAAAGGTATAATAAAAATATTTGGGGCTTTAAAATAAGGAATATAATTTAAAAAATAAATATAAAACTAAAATATTGAGACCTTTTTATTTTCCCCAAACAGTCTCCATTTCTGGCTGAGTTTATTAGTTGATTTGATCTGAAGTTCCCTAGTTCCAGTTCCCTCCATAGTTCATTTACTCTACACACAAGCTTATTTGCCCAGCTCTGAAGCCAGACTTAAATCTCACCTCTTTTGTAATTACTCCTTGGAAACAGACCAAATTTCTAAAAGTTGCAAGTTTCAGAGAAAGTAGTTTGGGAAAAGAGTGTATTCTCAAGACCTGTATTTTTATTTTTCAAAGAAAAAATGTTAATTCTGTAATGCTTACTCAGTGGTGCACAAGCAGTGGTAGTCAGTGGGTACAGCTAATATGTTGTAATAATGTAATATTGCATATCCTGACCTTTAAAAATTGATGTCATATATATCCTGCACATAGTAAATCTAACTCTTTCACAAAGGTTGGAAGAGTTCCTGAAGCATTTTGGTCAATATTAATGTGTGTTTTGTACCAGCAAAATGGAGAGAGAGATTTTATGGAAAAGAATGAGGTTTTCCAGAAATGCTAATTATTTTTTTGCTTTAATATTCAAAATATAATTTTTGAAAGAGTCTTAATTTTTTTTCCATTTCAGAAAATGAAAAGCGTTGAGGTACTTAAGCATTTCTCTTATGAGGAAAGGCTGAGAGGCCTGTTCAGCCTCAAGAAGACATGACTGAGGGGAGACCTCATCACTGTATGTAAGTATTTGAAGGGAGGGTGTCTGCTCGGTGTTGTCAACCAATAGAGCAAGAGGCAACAGGCAGAAACTGATGCACAGGAAGTTCCACCTCAATATGAGGAAGAACTTCTTTATTGTGTGGGTGACTGAGCACTGGAAAAGGTTCCCCAGAGAGGTTGTGGAGTCTCCCTCACTGGAGATATTCAAGGACCATCTGGACGCAATCCTGTGCAATGTGCTCTAGGATGACCCTGCTTCAGATGGAAGATTGGCCCAGATGACCGACCCACTGTGGTCCCTTCCAGCCTTATCCATTCTGTGAATCTGTGAATTTATGTCTCTTCAAAGTGCTTTCAACTTGAGACTCAAAAAACAAAGCCAGATTTTACTACAAGATTTTACAGACCATAAAAACCCTAGACATATTTTCCCCACGATGTTACCACATTTGGGTTTTATTTAATCGAGTGCACAACATTTGTGTCTATTATAATGATCATCGCTTTACTGCATGGCATCAACCATATTGAGCTTTGCAACGGTTTGTTGCTTATAGCCCAGTTTGGAGTGGTGCAGTAGAGAAAGTCAAGTCTGCTCCTGTATTAGAAAGGTCTTGACTCAGTTTCCCTGTACATACTGGGCGTTTCTATGCAGCTGACACATGCAAGGGGATGCAGGTAATCTTACTGCCATTCTTTCATTGTGATTTCCAAAACAGAGAGAAGGCAAAGCAAAACAGTGCTGTAGAAAAAAAATTTTCAGGCACATGTTTGATCAGTGCATCCCTGAGGTGCCTTAAGAGTCTCACTCTGCTCTCTTCTTTCAACTATTGTAGATGGATTATTATTTGTATTAATTAATAAAATTATTAATATTTATGGTTATTTTGGTTGTATGTGCAGAACTACAGAATGTATTACATTTGATGATTAAAAAAATCATCTACCATCTTTTTCAGACTGATAAAAATAATGTTTAATTTTAAAATAACTGACAGTGAATTAGAGGCAGAGGTGCTACAGTGAAATGTCACTGCAACAATCCTCACAGAGGAGAAATAATAATTAAATGCCTTTCAGAGACTAGGACCCAAGTCCCAGAGCTACTTCATTTAAAAACTGTAGTTTCTGAAGCCCACTACGAAGTACTTATAGTATAAAGACTGAATGGTAGTCAAACTAAGCACTAACAGTCTAAAGTAAATGAAAATAATTGAAGGAAGGAGTAGAATGTACAGAGCAATTTATAGAAACCTAGGATGAAAATAGGTGAGGATTCAATATATACAATAAATTACATACATTGGTGACTATTTAACATCTTGTGTCTGTCATGTATTTGCTTTATTTACTGTGAAAGCTAGAAAGAAAAATGATCATAAAATATTTAAGAGTCAATGTAAATGGAAAAAAATGTTTTCCCAGGGTAATGGACTCCTCCAGCTATTAGGCAATGAAGCAAAGTAGAAACATTTATTTTCCAGGCAGAAGGCAGTGCTTCTGAGACAAATTTCTATGATAATGAACATAAAGCAGGCATACAATATAATTAATCCAGAGGTGTCTGATTTTATACAGCAAGCACAGAATGAGCAGCGATGGCTGCTCTCCACAGCCTGGCTGTTGTGCCCAAGCCCCATTTCTCATGCCGGTGCTGCCAGGGCTCAGTGTGCACAGTGTCCATCTCCAACTGCATATTGACTCCTGGAGACTGAGGCAACTGGAGACTGACTCTCAACCTGCTGGCTGAAAATGTGTGTTTCCTTTCTGACAGCAGTGATGTTTCTAGCATGAGGGGCAGGCTCAGACAAACTACTTTTTTCTTTACAAATGTCCTTTATTTCTTCCTGTGAATGAAAACCTTTGCGAGGGAAGAAACTCTAACCCTCCTTCCCAATGATTTTCATAGGTGACACTACTTTTCCCCACAGTTATTTTTTTATGCAACTGCTGCCCAGCTGCCCATTTGTCTCAGAATGATGCTTCCCCCAAACCTTTCAAACACCAGTTCAGACAGGTTTTTAACCCCCTCCTCATGCATCCTCTGTGCTTTACTCTGGGCACAACTGGCACTTTGTTTTCCTGCTGATTTCTCTCAGTTTGATTCTCAGCATCTTTCAGTCTCAGATTTAATGTATTTTTGATGATACACAGAGTATGAAGAAGTCCCTGACTTCCCCGCCTTTCTCAACTCTTCCTCTTTCTTTAATATTTGTTCAACATTTTAATATTCTTTTCATGAATTATCATATTTAAATGTCATCTCTGGCTAGGTTAGGGTATTTTGTTTGGCTTTTTTTTGTTTTTAACACCTGAACATGTATTTCTTCATCAATTTCAGAAATATTTGCTTTTACCATGGGAGTAATTCCTTTCTATTCCTTCAGAAAAACAGTCACTAATCTAAAAATATAACTAGGTAAACACATTTTTAATTTTTTTAATAAACAGTTCATTGAGATATTGTCACTGTAAAGCATTCAATGCCAAATAAGTAAATGCAACTTGCTGATACTTTTAAAAATATGCAGGATAAACTCCAGGAAGTCAGAATTAAATAAAAGTTTCTGTCACTCCGAGCACTAGCACTAGATCCTAGACAGATCAGGCTCAACTTGTCAAAACTTCCCCTTGTGATTTGAAGTACATGTATCTGATGCTGGGACTACTTGGTCACTAGGGCTATTTGTGCTGGGTCATATAACTTCAAACAAAGTATTTTATACTCTTTTCTCTCCTTTCCTCTTATCTGATAGTGGTTGGCTCTGCTAGTGCTTAATGTAAAACCATTAAACACCACTTTTTTTTTTTTTAATCTTAAATCAGTGCTTTCCTAAATTGATGCTATTATCTACTTTAAAAAATGGATATTGTGGATATGTGTATAATAATAGTAGTAATAAACACTTCTAGACTTCCCAAAAGTGCCTTTGCCACTTAACATTTTCATTACCATTGCTCTGTCTTACAGCCACAGTTAATAAATACAGAAATACCTGGGGATTCACACTACGTCTTTGTTCCTCTTGTGTTTCATAGCTATCACTCAAGTTATGTTAAAGCATTTCATGAGAATAGTAGGACTCTGGCATCAGCTTATGCAACCTTAAGAGTCAAGTTTTCATTATTTTCTAGCCAGATTTGTTTATTTGATTCAATCTTATTGGCAATGTGAACGTTTATGAGTATTCATATGACAGATGCAGGTACCCGACCTGGCTCTGCTTGCCCTAGGGCGAGAGCTGGAAGCATTGGGTAGCAGTGATGTAGACAGAGCTGGGATAGCTTCATGCAAGCCAGGTCATGACTTGAAGTGTGTAGTAGTTCCAGTGAGGTGAGTCTATGCTATTTACAGGTACTGGATGAGAAATCCGTACAGCACTGCTGGTTTACCACTGAAACCTCAGGTTTCAGTGAAGTTAGGGAGACAGCGCTGTTAGGGGAATTGCATTTGGTGCAGGCATTGAAACATGCAGGGGATAAAACCAAGACCACAATATCTTCGTCTGGCTGAAGTCAATAAAAACAGTTCAGGAAAAGACGAACGTTCTGAGAAACTATGAGTCTAATATAAGGCATGTTGCAATGGAAAAGTGTGTGCTATGCTTTCCTTAAAAATCAGGAATTTACATGTAATTGTCTATTTCGGACTTTTTGTTTCAATTTGAACCTGTGTTCTGAGTACTCACCACTCTCATAATTTAAGACTCATCCCTTTTAAACACAGTAATGTGTCCTCAGCCCTAGAGAAAACCAACTTTCTTGCCTGGCTGAAATACAGAGGTGTGAGAAATCAAATATTTTCTTAGATTGTGACTAGTATTTGTGCAACAGAGAACTCACACTGAATTGAAGATAGTGGAAAGTAAGTGGAAAGAAAAGGTCTCCATGTGCATGTTACTTTCATTTAAGGAAATGAAATCTAAGCTACACTTGAGGTCACTGGAAGTGAACCTTGGAAATTCTGAACCTTGACTTCATTTACAGGAAGCTCAGGAAAACATGTAGACTGCTGTAGTCACCCTTACCTGTTGTTTCAAATTTTCCACTTATTTAGATAGGAAAAAGAAAAGGAAAAATTCACATCAATTCAGTTCTTGCAGACATATTATTTTAATGGTGCTCACTGACAATATTTCAAAAGCTGTGCAGGCTGGTAATATCTACATGAGAGAACAAAATTTCAAAACAGTCATTATAGTCCCAGGCTAGAGCTTCCTTTCCTGAGAGACACTAAGAATGGCCAGCAAAGGCCCCTGAAGATAACTGAAGAAACACTGCTCTGCAGTTCCTCATGTCTACAGACCTTTTGTTTTGTACTACTGTGGCCATGCTTATTGTTTCCATGGTGCCCAGGAGGCCTAAGCAAGGGTGACAATCCAATTCTGTACCTCTAAAGAGCTACTTGGAAAAACAACTTTGGTTCCACAGAACTTGTTGAGAAGAGATTATAAGATAAGCAAAGTTGTTTTCAATACTGATGTGTGAGCATACTCAAATATACCCTCACCAATACACTATTATTCAATCCAAAAAGGTGTTTTCCAGGCAAATAAAGAAACATATATATTCACATCAATATAAGGAGCCATGGTCTATCTCCTTCTGAAAATTCAGCTTTATGTACATGGAGGTGGAAAACAACAGCTGTGAGGGAAGGAATTTGGAGTACAAATGAACACCAGACCCAGCTGTAGATTTGCATTCTTTGACATCTGGTGCTGACTAGACATGGGAATTCTGTGACAACATGAGATTTTATGCATCTGTCAGCTAAATCTAGCAATTCTCTTTGGGACAATTGCATGGATGAGGTTGATCTCAGAGAGCTGCTTTAAGCCAGAACAAAATAAAGGAAGAAGACTGTATCTGATTTGTACCAGCAATTTGCAGAGCTGGCTGGTTGCTTAAACTGGGATCGCACATCTGGTCTGCAAGAATTTGCAAGATAGCTTCCACAGGAGACCCAACATGTTTGACTTCAGAAGTGCTGTGACTGGGGGCTCCACTGAAGCCTGTTGGTGCATAATGGAAAGGATTAAGGGTGTGTGTGCATGTCTATGTGAGGAATTCAGTTAAAGGACAAAGACCAGTTTAAAAAATGGATTTTCAACACTTTTCTAAAGATTATTGAAATATAATAAACCCAGATATTCAAGGAAAAGAAAGGTTGTGACCATATGAAACAACCCCTGATCTGACATAATCTTGCTCTTAGTTTTGTAATCTTACCTTATTCCAACAGAGCTGATTTTTTTTTTTATACGAGAAAAAATCTTGTGCCTTATGCCAACCCAGTTTTTCTCACCATGATTTAGATGCAAACGAAGGAACAAGAGTTTGAGCACCAAAGACATTACATATCGTTAGACATTTTAAATCCTCAATTTAGGATATATTGTCAGACACTACACATTGTAAACCATCACTGCAAAATGAAATCAGATCACTAATTCATGCAATTTTGTTTTAATCTGTACTGTGTAGTAACTGTCATTCTTAAGGGAGATACTTAATTTAACTGGATTCTTCTTTGTATGACTACAGGATAAACAGATTTCACATGAAAGCGTTTAACCTCTTTCCTCATAACCCTGGATAACCAGGAGTGGGTGTGGACTGAGGCCCGATGGTGATGCTGTGAAGTCTGTGGCTGTGACCTTTCTACCTCAGACATCTGAGACCACACGTGGCAGCAGCACTAATGAATGTGCCCTTTCCTGATGAACTCATGCTTCACAGTCCCTGCTATGGTATATTGCATAATCTGGGACGATGTGAAATGATTGGCAGTGCGGAAGATGAAATAAGCCCCCTTCCTTCCTTCCTCATCTTCCTCTCAGATAGGCTGCTTGAATTGCTTTTGTTTTGGGATGACCCTTGTTCCAAGCGATTTCTGCAGCAAAAGGAAAGCAAAAAGCTTTTTTCAGCTGCAGATTGTAGATCATGTATCTGGACTCTTCAGACATAAATCAACAGGACCATTTTTATGCTGTTGCCTAGTCCCCATTACCTGCACATACTAATCAAATTTAAGCCATTTTCAGACACAGTGATTGAACAAGGTCTTGTGTTAGAATTTTTTTTAATGACAAGTGCCATTGTGCTTTTGCCATGAATATGTGAAGAAATACTCTGAACTGCTTTGGCTCCCAGTTGTCTCTTTGCAAAGTAATCTTCGTGCTACACATGTGGTGGCAAATATTTCTGTAATACAGCCCCTGACTCCTTTAATTACATCTTATTACCCTACCCCATGAAGGATAAAATGCAACTAAAGCTCTTAAATATACCATATTAATGACAGCTATAAATGTAGATATTACCTTAGCAGTGCTGTAATGGAGTCTGGTATGCTGAGTAGAAGTCCACAATTTTCTAAAAATACACTCTTGTAACTGTGAAAGACACACAGGTGGAAAGTCGCCAGGAGAAAATAGGCTTGGTTGACAACTTGTGGCTGACAAATGTTAAAACCAAATTTCCAAGAAATTCTCTGTTGGTTATAAATCAGGCATGAGAGAAACTTTTCTCCCTCGAGACAACTGACAGGTTTTTGCTCTGGATATAGGTGCAGTTTCTTAAAAGACAGAATGTATTTACAGCCTATAAGATACCTACTATTTTTAATATTGACTCTCAACAAGCAAGCAATGGAATTTTTTATTTATATTAGAAAGTGTTGTCATGTCTGTGTGTTTTGTGTGTGTGTTCATGCATGTGAATGTAACCCTTGCACATACTATGCAACCTGTGTGATAGGTGGTATTCTAGTCATGTAATTAATTAAGTCTAGCTCACCCCAACCTGCAAGTCCCAGGGTGTGCACCCATCAACCTTTCTAAAACTGGAGCACAAGATTACAACACTGACATGCCTAAGCAAGGGACTGACATTAACCTCGTGTTACATTTAAATCATTCCAGGCAGTCTGTTTTGAATTTCTAAATGTGCTGTACTGTTCTAATGAGTTAATTCATTTGGTATCCATTTCCTCCTGTCAGCTGCTTTTGGAAAATAAATTGTGCATTGTTATCTTGGCCTTGTCTGTCCTATTAATGGTTTAGGAAATGCAGCTGAAGATTATCTGGAGTTTTCTATGGCAGAGGTTGACCTATGGCAATGGGATGATCAATCACATCTTGAAGGAGTGAGAATCTGCAAAATGCTTATTCATTTTGCTTTCTGTCTGCAGTGTAGATTTTTAAAAAAATGTTTTCAACCGTTTGTGTAGTTGGGTAAAAACAAAAGCATTGGCAAGAATTTTGTAAAAACATAAATTTCAGCGTGTATATGTCATCCACCCAGTGAAGGTGAATATAGCAATATACTAAAAATTCCACATTTGCCAGCAGTATATTAGAAGTCTTCTCTATTCCCTTCTTGATTGATATTAGTGATTAAACTGACAATACCATGATGATTTCCATGTGCTTTCATAGTGTTGTTAATCTAGGTATGAGTGGGGAAGGATATAATTCATTTACCCCACAGTCTCTGCCAGCAGTGGACTCACAAAAGAACGTTGCCCAGGAGCCTGGGGTTACCTGAATGCTCCTCTCACTTGGCTCCATGGTGCATCCTTCACCTGTCAAGACCTGTCTCCTGCTTCCCAATACTCTGTTAAAGACTGTATCATCTAATTCACTCTGGTGAGAAGCACTACTGTTAACTGGTCCTGGCTGAGTTTAGAAAACAAAGCTTGCTGGGGTGCCTCTGATTCCTGTTTAAGAGCTGGAAAAACTCCCACAAGAGTGGGAGCAGTAGCCTTCTCTGCTCTTTCCAATCCCTCCACCATTTCCAAAATCTCACAGTTTTTCTTTACACATCTTCCTCAGTTTCCTAGCAAGCATTTCAAATCTGCTCTCCTAGGATTATTTCGGCCACAAATTTTTAGAAATACCTAGATACCTTTGCTCCCTGGTGTCCTGGCTGTGTTGCCTGTGTCAGCTTTTTGCACTGTGCTGTGTGCTAACCCCACTGCGGCACACAGTACAGCATTACTTGTGCCCATACTTTCCCTTCTCTCCAACCACAATTAGATCATCTCAAAATATCTGTACTGCTCAGAGGCTCTAGATTTGATGTGAGGGTTCATAGATTAATATAGCACAACTAGTTTACCTTGGGATTTAAACAAGCTACTAATTTAACAGCCCTGAATCTTTCTGGCTGTCCCTGTGCTGAAGTCCTATGCTTCCCATAGGATCTGTGGGAATAAGAAGTGTATAAAAAGAAAAAGAAGCACAAAATTCTTAGCCCTTCAGCCCTTTATTTCCCTGTGACTTTCAGACAGTTCTTACTTGCACACTGGAGAGACTTAGGCTTACTTTTTTATGAGAAACAGATTGAATTCATAGGTTTTCATTGATCTTAGTGCAAGTGAAGTTCATGTCCCTGAAGAATCCCCAAAGAATCTAACACATGGTGCCAGGAATAGTCAGGACCTTGTACTTGAGTCTGTTTTCTCCTGCACTTCTGTTCTCCTCAGCAGGTGGTGGAAAGACCTCTTTATTTTCCCTCATTACGCTTTTGATTGTTGCAAACAACTTTGACCATTCTTGCCCTACTTTAACTTAAGCCACCGAAGTGGAGCCCTGAGTCGCCCCTTAATCCTGAACTGAATGCTGACCAGGAACAGAAGCTGCTTACACAGTAGTGAGGAAATCCATTCTCTGAGAAGGAATTCTCTGCAGCCACATGTGACATTGCCTGAACACAATCCTCATCAGCACTGCTGTGATGCATAAATCCAAACTGGGCCAAAAAACTTGCACCCTATGCACATCTGAATTTCCATTTTCCAAGAGTGTTTCACAGTGAACATAAAAAACCCCTCCCTCGGAGCTGCTGGTGACTCTTGGATGGCCCCATGTGCCTTGGGTGGCCTGCATGTGCCTGGCTTTTTGCTGCTGTCTGTGGATAGCTCATATTTTCCTTGGTGTCAGAGAGCTGCAGCTGCACATCTGCAAGACACTCCAGGGAGAAATGGATCACAGTTTGATGTCTGTAAATAGCTTCTCAAATCCAAGATTTTTGAAAGAAAATACTGTCAATGGTTTTATTTCAATTCTATCATTATTTTTGCAACTTAGTTCAATTTTGACAACAACAAAAAATGTCCTGTATTCTCTGTAGTATAAATTGTTGCAGTCTCACTGAAGTCTGTGCAATTGCAACAAATATGCCAGAAGATAATTTGGCCCATGAAGGGAAAAGAAGCCATGATAATGCTATACTCTCAACATGAACATTCATTTTCCTTATTACCTCTCCCAAGAGATCATTTTCTCTGGTCAGAACTCCAATTGCAATTTTTGCTATCAAGAATATTGCTTTTAAACAGGAAAATAAAGAGTAAACTATGATAATTTTCAGTAACTATACTACTATAGCCTTAATTTTCAAGTGAAAACATTACCAAACTCAATTTCAGATAACATTTTTTTATGTGCAACCCACTGTTGATATAATAACTTCTATTTTAGGTTACTAGCAAAGAGAAGAACAATGTGACCCATTTAAAAACTGGCTCACAGAAAAATATTAACAAGCCATTTATCACTACTATTTAATTTTGGTGATAAGCACCTTTTGATAGAAACATTTCTTTGTTACAAAATTAGCAGTAGCATAGAACATATTTGACTATAACACACGTGCTTTGCAATAGTACTGAGAAATGGACTTTCTGTTTGTTGCCAGTTGTTTGGAAAAGAAATAAAAAAAAAAAAAGAGGATAATGCTCACCTTTGAATTCTTCAGTAGATGGAGCCTGAATTTTGAAATCTCTGGAGTACTGCAAAGGCTGGATACAGGCTCTTTGGGAAGGACAGGTCAGGATGATGAGAAGGATTTTAGAGAGAGAAGTAGAAATGTATGGAGCTCTGCCATGAGCCAGCTGAGAGCTTATGAGTCTGGGCTGGCTGGCAGGTTAATGTGGGTGACATCGGTGTGGGTGTCTGCTACAGACTATGATCAGCTAGAAATAGATCAGATCTCCTTCAGATAGCCAAAAGAAATCTCATATTTACCAGCCCAGGTACTCACAGAAATCATTGACAACCCTGATATATGTTGGAGGAGCAAGACAGCAGGACAAAAGCAACCCAGGAGATTTCTGGAATGCACTGAAGGACAATTTCCTGATACAGGCGATTAAGGAGGTGAAGAGAGGAGATGCTTTGCAGGACCTGACTTTTACAAACAAGAAGAACTGTTTGGTAATGTGAATGTCAGGAGCAGCCCTAGCCACCATGACCATAGGGTAATGGAGCTCAGGATCCTGAGAGCAGACAGCAAGTTAACAACCCAGGACATTGGGAAAGCAAACAGTGGGCCTGTTCAGGGACCTGCTTGGAAGAATCTTATCTTAAGACACCATCCTGCAGAATAGAGGAGGAGTTCAGGAGAGCTGACTGATTTTCAAGCATCACCTCTTCAAGACTCAAGAGTGATCAGTCTCCACCTGCAGGAAGTAAAAGAAAAGTGGAAGGAGGCCTGCAAGAAGCTCAAAGATAAAAAAGAAATGTTCAAGAGGTGAAAGTAGAGTTAGGTGATATAGGAGGAATATAGAGACATTGCCCAAGTATGTAGGGATCAGGTTAGGAAAGTCAGAGCCCACTTGGACTTGAATCTGGCAAGGGATGTGAACAGCAAAAAGACAGGTTTCTACAGGTACCTTAGCAGCAAAAGGAACACTGGGGAAAATGTGGGCCCACTGCTGAAGGGGGAAGGGGACATGGTGACAGAGGACATGGAAAAGGCCAATATACTCACTGTTCTTTTCTCATTGGTCTCTACTGGTAAGACCAGCCTTCAGGAATCTCAGATCCCTGAGACGCGGAGAAATATCTGGAATAAGGAAGAATTATCATTAGTTCAGAAGGACCAGATTAGGGAACAATTAGACAGCTGGGCTGAACACAAGTCCGTGGGACCTGATAGGGTGCAACCACAAGCGCTGAAGTAGCTAGCCAACGTCACTTTGAAGCCACTCTGGAAATGCCATGGCCATCAAAGGAGATTCCTGAGGACTGGAAGAAAGCAAATGTCACTCCTTTCTTCAAGAAGGAACTACAGGCCAGTCAGCTTCACCTCATTCCCTGGGGAAAGGATTGAACAAGTAGTTCTGGATACCATTTGCAAACGTGAAATACAAGTGATTAGGAGTAGTTAGTATAGGTCTAGGAAGAGAAAATCATTATTGACCAACCTGGGAGCCTTCTGTGGCAAAGTGACTGGTCTGGTGCATGAAGAGAGAACAAGGTTTATGACACTGGCTGCTGTAATATCCTCAATGGAAAATACACACTAGGGTACAGCCTAGATAAGAGGAGTGAGCAGTGAGACTGAAAATTGCCTGAACTGCTGGGCCATTCACATTGCGATCAGCCACACGAAGTCCACCTGGATACCACTCACCAGAGGTGTACATAGGAGATTGATACTGGGGCCAAAACAGTTTAACATCCTCTTAAGTTACCTGGACAGTGGGACAGAGCGCACTCTCAGCAGGTTTCCAGATGATACAAAACTGGAAGGAGTGGCTGCTACACCAAATGTTTGCAAATGGAGGAACAGGTTGACAGGAACCTCTTGAAGTTCAGAAAAGGGAAATGCCGAGTCAAAGGAACAATTCCAGGTACCTGTAAAAGCCGTAAGGTAAACCAGCTGAAAAGCTGTACTTGGAAGAGTGTTGCCAGCAGATCAAGGGAGGTGATCCTACCCCTCTGCTCAGTGCTGTTGAGGCCACACCTGTACTGCTGTGTCCTGTTCTGGGGTGTCCAGGACAAAAGAGATGCAGAGCTACCAGAAAAAGTCCAGTGCAGGGCCAAGAAAAATGTTAAGGAATTGGAGCATCTCTTCTATGAGGAAAGGCTGAGATAGTTGCGGTGATTCAGCCATGAGATAAGAAGGCTCAAGGGGATCACATAAGTGTGAATAAATACCTGATGGAGGTGAATAAAAAGGATAGAGCTAGGATCTTTTCAGTGGTGTCCAATGACAGGACAAGAGACAATAGGAAATTCCACTTAAGAAAAAAAATATTTAATATGTAGGTGGTTAAACACTGGCACAGGTTGCCCAGAGAGGTAGTGGAGTCTCCATCCTTGGAGACATACAAAGCCCAATGGGACATGGCCTTGAGCAATCTGCTTTAGCTGTCCTTGCTTTGAACAGGGAGTTTGGACTTGGTTTCTAAAGATGCTTTCCAACCTCAGCCATTCTGTGAAATCATTGCTTATATAATAAAACAAAAAGTGTTATCTCTGTAGGAAGCCCCATGTCATAGTCATGGATGCAGTCATGTTCTTCTGCTGCTAATAAGTACTGTTAGAAAGAATTAATGTATAAACGTGCAGGGTGTAGGTGCATGTAGAATCCTGACATCCAGGGAGACAGCAGGGACCTTTTGGCACCTGATTCTGGGGTAGATGGGGAATGCTTTGCCACTCCTCACCAGCTGCATTCCTTAGATGCTGGGCTTTCCCACCCACAGGTAAGGATCACAGTGAATGTCATGACCTTGGTCAGTCCAGTATGCTGGAGAGAAAGAGCAAGCTGCTGGTGGGGAACAGCTGCCTGTACTGGCACTGTGGTACCTGGGGAGCCCTTCTCTCAAGGAGAACCTGCAGCTGATTTTTCCAGCCTACTTTCTAGACCTTTTGTGCTGATCCCACAAAGCACAAAGGGAATAGAGCAGGGCTGGGAATATGTGTGAAAAAATATCTCTCCTGGCCTTTTAGACACTGAACAGAAGGAGTATGTAACAGCATGACTTTTGTACCAGTTCCATAGAGATAAAATCACTTTTGAAAGCAGTTTTTCGGTTGTTTAGGAAAACTAATTTTCTTCTCAGTTTTGAATTAGACAGTCATTTTATTTTCTTTTCAACTTCCTATTATTGTTGTGACTATTATCAGGAATGAATTATTCTGAATAGCAAGCATAAGAAGAAAGCTATACTTTTTTTTTTTTTTTTTGCCATCCTTTTAATAGTAAGTTTTGGCCTGGATCACTTACTCTGTTTAGGATTAATGCATTCATGAGTCTTATTTTCAGTAGCTGTGAAGAAAAGACATTTTAAAGCAAATTGAGGTAGTTGATATCTTCCCTAATGCATTTTTAATGTATGAGACATTGTAAGGACCAGAAAAGCATTCTGTGCTCTGCAATACAATTTGACAACAAAAAAAAATTAAAAAGAGAGAGTAAGATAAAAACAAGCTAACAGAATGTGTGGAAGAGGGAAAGATACAGCCATGCTATTAGTGTCCAGTTGGCTAATTTTATTGGGATTTCTGGCATATGAAAAATGAATATGATAACTGATGGGAGGATGAGGATGTTGTGATATTAATAAGAATGTAATTCCATAAGAAATTGTCTTGTGATTTATAGCTAATAATATTACTGAAATGAGGCTAATGAAGGAAATCAATCCTATATAATACATTTTTGTAAGTCTGAAGCACTTCTGATGGAAAAAGAATAGATTTATCTTTTCCTCCCAGTAATCCCTGCTGACATCAGAAGTTTCACTGAAATCAATTGACAATCAGACTGGGGAATAAATAAACCTCTGCGGATGCACTTCTGCTCTGCCTTGCTTCTGTAGTTCCTCTCTCATGACAATGTCCTTAGAGCCACATTTTCTGTAAGAAAACTGCTACAGTGCATCTGGAGCGCAGCTACCGACCTTGCTGCTGTACCAATAGACTCCACCTGCTATGAAAGTTACCTTTGGTCTTGCTGACTTGGGTACTAACCACAAAAGATTTGCTGTGCTATACCAGTCTTTCCAGACCTTTGGGTGTTTATGCAATAAGCTGATCCACACTGCACCCCTTACTGCTTGGTTTTACTGATGTTAGTGCTGGAGAAAACTAAAGGAAGGCAAGCTTCATTGTACTTACACATTCTGTAGAAACACTTCAGGCTGCAGTGCATGTTTTCCCGTCCCAGCCTGCCTTCATCTAAGTAAGTGAAATCAGCTACAGTGAGATTTAACAGATCCCTGAAAATGTACGGTTATGCTCTTCTTTGTGTTCCTTGCCTACTTCATTACCCTTGGAAAGAACAATGTGATTTATAATATGTATCTTATAGCATTTGGAAGAACACCTGTTTCTTCAGAGGACTTTCATGGGATATATTTAAAACCACAGATGTTTTAGAAATACTGGCAGTAGTTTGTTTTGCTTCAAGTACAGACTCATAGTTCTCCTTATGAGTGAATGTCTACAATGAAATTACTGATTTTGTGAATAATTTTGTGGATGACGAAGTGTGACTGCTATTCTTGGTAGACTATGAAGAGAAGCTTCCCCACATATTTATCTCCTCAAGCCCAACACCTTCCTCTTCAGGATTCTGGAAATGGGCATACTAGCAGAGGTTTCTGTCTCTGTCACCATGCTTATTTAAGTCAATGGCAATAACCTTTCTGATGTCAGTGAGGCAGGATAAAATCTTATGTAAACAGCCAGTGCTTACATATTTCCTCATCTCAAGAACCTTGCTGATATCTGATTTAACACCTGACATATCCACCTCACCCAAATACTTAAGTAGGCACAGATATGTGACAGCAGGGAGGTATGATGTGAAGAAAAAGATGCAAATGTAAAGTTGGATTAAAGGTGTAGTGCTATGGGCAAGATCATGCCACCTATTTTTGTGTGCAAGGCTTTTTCTTCTATATCTTACTTTCAAGCAACTGTTGAGGTTACTAGCATGAGGCACAGGAGATTATGGGCAAAAATTAATTTGTACTATCAGATGCTTGAAAGAACAGAAGTCTTATCTGAGCTTGGTGAGAACACCCTGAGATCTGACAGGGATGGAGACACACCTGAGACACAGCAAACAAGAGAATGGCTACTGGTTTCAAAAGAAAAACAGTTGATTATGTTTAGTCAGAAAAGGAAAGATTTTAGTTAGAATCCTGACTGGATATTTGTGTTTGAGGTTACTTATGAAAAATACTTAGCACAGAGCAGACTAGATCCTGGCACTGTTGTGCTGTCATCACTGTAAATTCATTAATGTTTCACTGAACTGTTCTAATACCATTAGACTGCCCTGTGTCACATGTGTTGTGTCTATGAATGCTCTCTTTGTCTCCCTGCATAGCAGGGAAGGTGAAAGGCACTGGAATTGAAGTGATTCTTCAAGCCAAGGATCTTTGTAATCATAAATAAAATAAGTCCCTTCAGCTTAACATTCATTGCCTCCTTTCTCATTTAGAAACAGATGTCAGCACAAGGAGAAGGCAGGTGCAGAGTGCCTCTTTCAGCTGCTTTTGAAGGAAAGCAAGAAGTGAATAAGTCATAGGGAGCTGTGTTGTATGTATCTTTAGAAAAGCATTTATAGCTTCTAGATACATTTCTGCTAATGAGGGTGTGAGATGTCAGCTCTTTGGAAGTTACAGCATGCGTTGTCACACTCTCATCAACTCTGATGGATGGAGTGTGTATGGGAATATAATTTAAACATGAGGACATAAGGAATTAGTTAAGTTACAACAGAAAATACTTAAGAAAAAATGTCTAATACTAGAAAAAATAGCTGCCTTAGTTGAATGTTATATAAACTACAAAATTTCTTAAAACTGGAAACCCCCAAATGGATGCTCTCCATACATTGCAGTATTGTCTGAATCTGCATATAAATACCCTGAAAAGTAGCTGTAAAGTTACAATTTACTGTAGTGTCTAACTCCTGAACCTAATGAAGGCCACAAACTGAGTGTTGCCAATCATATTATTGGTGTTAAAGCCAGCAGCAATGTGATCTGAGAGCATGTTATATTTAGGTGTGTGTTAAGAATCTGACTACTGCCATTTTCCCCCTTAGGCAATCCAACTTCCACACAAAACATTGTCATTTTTTAATGAGAGCAAGATCAGACCCAGTACGATCCATAGCTTCTATGAGATGCCAGGCTGAGGTGAGTAGAAAGGAATAAACAGCACCATAGTCTCTCTCTCTTCTCTCTTCACATCTATCGAGTGAAGCTGGTTTGAGGTGGGTTGAAAACATGCTATTTTTTGTAAAGAGCTGGCACAATATGCCCTCATTAGCAAAGCTTGCCCACTTTTATTGGCCACTCTTGCAGTTCCTCATTTGAAACACCACGCTGCAGGGATTTTGCAGAGTGTTTGGGATTTTAACTATGAAAGGATAAACTGACCAGAAAAACTCCTGCAGCTTCCCGGGCTTGATGCACTGCACAGTCTGGCAGGGATTTCACTTTCCCTGTGACACTGAAAAAGCACTAATCTTCCTGTCACAGAACAACTTGCTTCGATGCCCTATCCTGGTAAAGATGCTCTGTGATAAACAAGCTTTTAATTTTGTATTTCCATACTTTTACTTAGTAAATTGCAACTTGACAAAGCTGTGTGTTGATGACTGTGCCAAAAGCTTAGCCCTGAACAGAGATGGAAAAAAGAGGGAAGGACAGAAAGTGCTCACGGGAAGTGAACAGAAGAATTGTGCTTTAGAAGCTTTGTCAGTGCTTTGATTTAGTGCCATCAGTCTTACTGCAGCAGGCATTCTACTTAGTGCTAATGCAGACAGTTCAGGAAAACTTCGTAGAAACTATGAACGATGCCTTGCAACCTGAAAAGAATCTTTTGCCTCCCTGAATTCTAAGGACGGATCTGCCAAAGCAAAAAGCATGCCGGGGACTCAAGAGGAGCCTGCCCTTTCATATGATAGGGTCTCTCTGGAAAGAACTGTAGTGTAATCAAAGTATATAAGTAGCCAAATCTCAGCATTAGATTTTCAGGGAAAAGCCCTGCTGGCTCCTTCTATATGACACCAGTCCTTGTGTGTCAGATATAACTGCTGGGAATGGGCCATCTTCAGTGTGAAGGGAATACCCAGTGCTCAACTGTATGCTACCATACACAAGACAGAGCTTTTCAGGGCCAAAATGAGATTTTAAGTGCTGAACAGGAATAACAATAATAGAATTTAGGAGAATTTAAGTTTGCTATAAGAAATACTGACACACAGCTGGAAGCTAAAAATAAGCTATTTCAGAGAAAGTGGTTAAACACAGTTAAACAGTTTGGGAAGCAGCACAGGAGTGTAAGTAGATGAGGATCTTTTCTGCTTACCTGAAAGTCGTCTTGTTCCCTGAAACATTCACAATAATCCTTCAGTATTGCCCTGTCTCCTGGTGCTATTCTGCCCCTTTCCCAGATGAAGAGAGGCTGAGTTTATCTGCTTTGCTGATGTGGATAAAACAAAGCACACTATGCTATGAACTAACTCCCTTCCTGTGGAACAAACATTAGGAAGCAGCTGAAGAGATATTTAAGACTCCTGTGTTTCAATGTAAACCAGAAAATGCCTGTTTTCAGATTCTTAAACAGAAGGGTAGAGACTGTGAAATACAAAATCTTATTGAAAGAATAAAAAGTCTGATATTAAACTCTTCTTTTTAGTGAAGAAGTCTCCTCTGACGCTTTCCTCCAGGCTCTTTTGATATAAAACTGCTGTACATGGATGTATTGCAGGACATACAAACTATTAGGTGAACATTAGAACAACTGGATAAATTATTGCATGGAAATCTGGAGCGTTTTGGGAAAATATTTCATGTTCAGTGTATGAAAGGATTTTTATTTCTGATGGCAGCTGTTTGGTGTTGTTCAGTGGCTTGGAAAGTTACCAGTCCATTTGCATTTCTGAATATAAGAATTTCTGTGTCTGTAAGATCTCAATTTTTTAAGGCTGGGGATGAAAAGATAAATTCCTTTAGTAGTTCTTTTAGCCAGATATCTAATCTGAGCCAGCTATTACTCATTATTTTTGATGTTATTATCACCTTGGAAGAATACTAATTCAAGAAATCAGTGTTCAGTGTTTCTATGCAAAACATTTAAACTAAAACAAAATCAGTTTCTTCTTCCTAGTTAACTACATGAAACATGATTAATGAATGATAAAATAGAAATCTGAATGGAAATATCTCCTTTTCCAAGGTTCCAGTTAAACTGCTTTGAATTGCAAATCTGAGGATGTGAGCTAAGCGTCTTTCTAGCAGTTTACAGATTACAGTGTGATCTCACTGCCTGTCATTTCCTGTCTGTCGTCCCTTTAAGTACTTGCTCCTTCATAATTATTAACTGAAGTTGGCTACTGGACTTTGAAACTGCAAACTGCTTTCCAAATAATTTGTTTCCTGCTGTGTATACTTTGAAATCATACGGTTTATTATCTGTCACTGATTACAAGTGACACAACTAAGAGGAAAAAGGTAGAAAAATTTCAATTAAAATAGGGAGCTCTTTACTGACTATAAAATGTGACAAAGTGTCAAAACTCTATAATACGAAAAAAATAGAGCAGCTATACTTAAAATATGGTACTGATTCAGTGATGAATAGAAAAAATTATTAGAAATAAAACCGATTGTAAGTGGAAAAAGGACTAAACAAATATTGATGTGAAGTAGAAATTGCAGGCTATAAAAATATTGACGAACAATTCAGGAAAAAATCCATAACCAGGTTTCATACAAATAAGTAACATTTTTATAATAAGAGAAGAAACCCAAAGTCATTACTTGCTGAAAAAGTGCATTTGTAGATGATCATAGAATCATAGAATCAGCTGGGTTGGAAGGGACCTCAGAGATCATCAAGTTGAACCCTTGATCCACTACTGCTGCGGTTACTAGACCATGGCACTGAGTGCCACATCCAGTCTCTTTTTAAAAATCTCCAGGGATGGAGAATCCGCTACTTCCCTGGGCAGCCCATTCCAGTGTCTGACCACCCTCTCTGTAAATAAATTCTTTCTAATATCTAACCTAAACCTCCCCTGGCACAACTTGAGACCATGCCCTCTTGTCTTGCTGATAGTTGCCTGGGAAAAGAGACCAACCCCCACCTGGCTACAACCTCCTTTCAGGTAGTTGTCGAGAGTGATGAGGTCTCCCCTGAGCCTCCTCTTCTCCAGGCTGAACAGCCCCAGCTCCTTCAGCCTCTCCTCATAGGACTTGTGCTTGAGTCCCTTCACCAGCCTTGTTGCTCTCCTCTGGACCTGCTCCAGCACCTCAATGTCCTTCCTGAACCGAGGAGCCCAGAACTGGACACAGTATTCAAGGTGTGGCCTCACCAGCGCTGAGTCCAGGGGAAGAATCACTTCCCTGGCCACACTGTTCCTGATACAGACCAGGATGCCATTGGCCTTCTTGGCCACCTGGGCACACTGCTGGCTCATGTTCAGCTTCTTGTCAATCCAAACTCCCAGGTCCCTTTCTGCCTGGCTGCTCTCCAGCCACTCTGTCCCCAGCCTGTAGCACTGCAGGGGGTTGTTGTGGCCAAAGTGCAGGACCCGGCACTTGGCCTTGTTGAACCTCATCCCGTTAGAATCAGACCATCTCTCCAACCTATCCAGGTCCCTCTGCAGAGCCCTCCTGCTTTCCAGCTGATCAACACTCCCCCTCAGCTTAGTGATGATAAACAGATAAAACATTCATAAATATTTTGCAAGTTTCATGCTTGGAAGGGAGTCTGATTTGTGTACAAAATGTGCGTTTAAAGAATTTTGCATTTTATTAGTAGCTAAGTGGTATAAAAAATCACAAAATTATGATTTTTAAATCTGATTTAAATCTATGTACTCACACCCTGGATTTCTATAAGAACAGACCCTCAGTCTCTTCAGCAAATTTTTAACAAATACAGGACAATATTATAAAACTTAAATAATTTTAGCATTATACAAATATTATAAGAATTATTATAATTAATATTATGAGAAATATTAAAGAAAAAAGAGAGAAAGGAGATAATCTATGTAATTGGTTAATCTGAGAAAAGTCACAGGAAAACTACAAAATACCATTTATATGGGACTACAGTCATAAAAACTTGATGTAGAGAACTATAATTAATGCTACTGACAATAGTTTTACTGGAACTATGTCTTGTCAAAGAAACATATAATGAGATTACAGATTTTGATGAGGCATATGATTTACTAGTGTACAAGATTCAGATTAAAAATAAACATTAGGACTCATTCAGAAGAATGGCATTTTAGATCAACAAAAGGTAAAATGATAATGCAGTCTGTGTCCACATTCTGTAGACTGGCTCCTGGATACCCTTGCTCAGAAAGAGGATTTAATGTTTATACTAAATGGCAGCAGAACAAAAGATTCAATATTTGATTCAACAGCAAAATAAAGACTAATGTGAATCTTCAACATGAAGATAAAAAAGAAATTAATGAGTACACAGAGGTGAAAACAAGAGCTACACAGGAGAATTTCGGTGTCAGTATTTAGATCACACAGAGGTGACGAGACTAAAGGGGGTGAGTACATTAGAGAAAAAACACAAAGCAAAAAAGGCTCTTCTGTCAAGGCAAACAAGCATAATATGAACCAGTGACTGAAAGTTAAAGCCAGAAAAATTCAAATTAGAATTAGATACCCATTAGATAACACTGAAAGAGATCAACCACTTAAACAAGCTCTCGAAGTAATGAATTCTTCATGTCTTGATGTCTTCAGGTCTGGAATTTCTGGAAAATGTGCTGTGGCTAAATACAAGTTATTATTTACTGATAGCCAAGTAATTAATTTAATACATAACACTTTCATGAAATGTAATATCTTGTGATATAGGAAGCCAGATTGCACTCTGAATGTATGATTTCATAGCTTTACCAGAACAGTGCACATGAGCACTTCATCATTTATGGGTGTTTATACATTGATAAGCAAAACTTAGTAAAATGAATGAAGAACTGACACTCCTTTCATCATCATTTTACAGACTCAAATATGTTGTTATTCCCTTGCCCCTTGATCCTGATCAGTGCTTCCCCTTTCTCACAAGCTTCCCAGATGAAAAGCCAACACCTGTAAGCCAACACCTGCTTGTGCTCTTCTACTGAAAAAAATGATCAGGCTCATTATTCAGCTCCTTTTATTTTAAACAGTAGAACATATTATGTATTTTCCTGATTCAGTGCTTCCTTTTTAAATGTTTAATTTGCAAGTAGTGGATTTAACGTCTATCAGTTCCACTGACAAAGAGCCGCTCCTTTTCAATAGCTACTAGATGAAATTCATAATCCTTCAGGAATATCATCTAATGTTAAAGATCTGAAATTATTACAGCTAGGTAAATACATATTTATCATCCCCTTATTGCAAATTTTCCCCTTGAGCTTCTCATCTTCTTCCTTGAATTTACATCTGGGTGTATCTTTAGTTCTGCTTCCTTCCTAAAGAAATAAAGAACTATTTACACAGGAGTTTTGCCATGTCAGATCCCTTGATTATCATTTGCATTCTCTTTCATTGTGTTTCAGAGACATCCTATTTCATCCTTTAACTCACTTTTTCTTTTAGCCTGCTAGAGGGAAAAAAAATCCCACTTCCCTTCTACTCTTCTACTGTCTACAGGAATTCACTTTTGTGCTTACTTTACATCATCAGCAATTCCTGTTGTCTTTGCCATTTTTTATAGTTCTTGACACATTTTTTTCCCAGGGCTAGATCCTTTTAGGGAAAGGAAAAGCTCCAGGAAACTACATAGATTATTCTCTAAATTTTTTAGTGTGCCCTTAAACACACTGAATTTTTTATTTCTTCAGCTTCCTTTTGACTGTAATATTTTTAATCCTTAAAAAAATACTTCCTATTCCTTGGTTTTTCTTAAAGAACTTGAAACTATCCTCCCATAATTTTAGTTTCCTCTAGCTTAATGTGTAAACTCTCATGGGCAGCCATAATAGTCCTGTTTTACACATTTGAACACTGGGAGAATACACACTAATTATGCCCATCGGTTTGTGAGCACTGGCCTGTTCCCATTTTCCCTTCATCTCTTGTGCATGTAAGAGGCTTATACCTGTACTGTAGAAAAACTCGGTACACACTTGCAGATCAATGTGTTGATCATTTAATTTCTTCCCTAAACCGTGCATATTGTAAGTGAAACATGGGAAGTGTGTGCAGGACTAGCCTTCTATCCTATTAGCTGGCAAACCCAGGAAGCACAAATTTACACTTAAAAGATCTTAAAACACTCAAGGCCACTGAAACCACCCTTCTGTGTGGATGAAAGGGGAAACTGGGATTCAGAGGACATATTTTTGCAATGTTTGCATGATGGCATTTGCCAATGTAAACCTCACTTGCAAACATATGGTGTCTTTCACTGTGAATGGTTTCTTTTTGCTATAAATGGTCCCTTTATTGAAAATGGTCTCCCTTTACCTTTTCATCTTGAACTATTTAAACTACCCAACCATCCTTTTCCTTTTTGTAACACGTTACTTCAGCTGCAGAAAAAAAAAAGGAAATAATATTATTCCAGGAATACTGGAATATTATTCCTTGTAATGAACTAGTTCCTTTTAAAACATGTAGAGAGATTTTCAATGTTGTTACATATAAGCTTATGCTTTAATGTTCAAACACAGAAACTTTCTACTTA